CCACAGTAAGATTTAAGTTTCTCCTTTCTTGGCCTTTCTGTCTTAAAAAATTTCCAGTTCCTAAGAACACACTCCAGGGGTGTTTCTTCTGGCTTTGAAGGGGACTGTCCCATGTCGAGTAACCTGCAACTGAGAACAGAGTGCTCCTAGAAGTGTAATCCAGCATCCTAGATACCTTTAGGAGGCACCAGAAGGGGTTCAGAGCATCCCTGCGGTTCTCTTCGATCTTATTGCTTGACGGGGTTTTGAGCATCTTCTGCTCCCCCATTGAATCATGGTCAGACGTTTCTCTGGCCCCCTTGATACCCTGTGCAAGGTGCCCAACCCAGCACCGCTGGAGGACTTTTGAGCCAGTATAGACTGGTTGCCAGGGCTTGGCTTAGGAAGGAATCCCTTGCCTGGAAAATCCCAAGGACAGAGTAACCTGGCAGGCTACATACAGTCCATGGGTCACAGAGTCAGACACGACTGTGCATGCACACACATGCACACACACACTTTGTTTATAGAGCTTATGTCCTGTGATAAGTCTCCCTATGCTGGGGTGTATTCCTTGAGACTTAGCATCTATGACGTTCATAATTTGGGCCTTTGGGGGTGGCCAGCCCAATAGGCTGTCCATAGCAGTATGGAGGTTGCCAAGGCCTGGAGTAAGGGAGGGGTGTGTTCTGATAGATGCAAAGAGAAACGCTTGCAGAAACTGGAGTTGGACGATCAGAAGATGGCATGGGGTTCCGGGCTTGAGGGCCAAGTGGGAAAATCCTCATAGTAGATTTCTGGGCATTGAGTGAGGTGGGAGACTAGACAGCAGAAAAATCCAAAATCCTTTGCCCTGTCTCGCAGCTATGACAGAAGTGGGTACCATCTGACAGTCCTGACACAGGCAGCACTGGGGTTGACGGTGGTAGGGTCGCAGCCTAAGAATGCTATCCAGGAAACGCTTTCTTAAAAGGGCGTGGAGATCTGAGGAGAGAAAGAAACCTGGTTGTGTGAGGGAAGTGGAAGAAAAAGGCGCAGTGGAGGGTCCCATGTGGGACAGAGAGAAGGAACGTGAGAGAGGGGAGAAAGAGGTTCCCAGGACTGAAGCTCACCGGGGCTGTGAAGGGAACCATGGGTGTGTGACTCTTGGGCAGATGCAGCCAAGGGGAGCATGGGGAGAGAGGAGACAGGTCTGAGGACGCAGCGTGTAAGGGTGAGCACAGCGTCCCCGAATCCACGGGCAGTGGCGGTGCCCGGAGGGAGTTGCCAGGGTGTGCGGGGCCAGATGGGGGGCTCCAGCAGCTGAGGCAGTAACTCTGCTGAGCAGGGCAGAGCGTCAGGGGCTGCGCTGTCCTTGAGATGGGAGAACGTGGGGTCCAGGAGGAGTTTCTTGTGCGGATGGAAGACACCTGAGGTGTCTTTACTGCTGATGGGAAAGCCTTGGAGAGACAGAAAGGTTGCCCAGAGTGACCTAAAGGTCTGTATCTAGGAGTGGACCGTCTTTCCAGATGGAGGTGACCCCCACCCACTAAGCCCAGCTGCCTGAGGGGTGAAGGAGGTGACAGGCACCCAGCTGGAGGGGACAAGCGGGTCTGTCCTGGACAGTTCCCTGGCTGGTGGGAGCAGCGCTGGGAGCCTGGGAGCCCCGCGGAGCTGGCCTGAGGCTCACCCCGACTCTTCCCTTTTCTCCCTGCCTCTCTCCTCTCCCTTTCCCTCTCTCTCACCCGAAGTCACAAATGACCTGCTAGCTTAGTTTTGCTTTTCACATTAATGTCTAGACAGCACTATCCAAGGGAAATATAATGGGAGCCACCTATGGGATTTACAATTCTCTAGTGGTCGTATTTTTTAAAAAGTAAAACAAGCAAAAACCCAAACAAGGACTTCCCTGGTGGTCCGGTGGTTGAGAAGCAGCATCCCAATGCAGGGGACACAGATTCAATCCCTGGTCTGGGAAGATTACACATGCCTCAGGGCAATTAAGCCCATGCTCCGCGACGGAGAGAGACCACCACAAAGAGAAGCCTGCGCACCCCAACCAAGACCCAGCACAGCCAAAAATAAAAATAAATAAAAATTAAAAAAAAAAATCCCAGGTGAAGTCAATTTTAGTAACATTTTATTTAACCCAATATATGCAAAATGTTATCTTGACATAAAACCAATATAAAAATTAGATAATTTTACATTTTTTTCATAGTAAGACTTCAAAATCCTGTGTATATTTTATGGTTGTATAATAAAATATCTCAATTCAGGTACTAGATTTTCATCAGAAATACTTGGCCTATATCTCGATTTCATAAAATTTATATTTGAAAAGGCAGGTTCACATACCCACGGGCTCCAGCACACAACAACAGTTTTCCTACGATGGTCTGAGACCCTGCTGGTCTGGAAGCCCGTGGCTCTGGGCTCTGTCCTGGAGCTTTTCTTCTGAGCACCTAGCCCACTCTGTAATGATGTCTGCCTTTGTCACTGCTTTTGTTCTCAACAAAGTGCACATAGTTAAGTACCCACAGCATATTTGCTGAATAAATATATTTACATCAAAATTAAAAAAAAAACCAGAATCTCCCCCTCTCCTTAGATGATGCACTGGTCTACAAAGACGTAAGCTGTCGGAAAAGAGTGGGTTTTTCCCATCCTTCTCAGTGGTTGAGGGGCAAAGGCTTTTGATCCCATTGCCCCTCTGCACAGAACTGGGAAACAGGACAGCCCCCCGCACCCCAACCTGCTGTCACACCAAACTCACACCCACACCCACACTTGCCCCCTCTCCACTCAGTCCTGACTTCCCCAGGGCTGCTTTAAAACAGTGCCAAAGGTGGCAGGGCTCACTTGGGTCCCTGGCTCATGTTTTCTGTTTGCCGTGAGTTCCTTTCAACCTGATCAGGACCTTTCTAGCACCCCATAAAGACTCACCAGGACCAAGAGAGAATGGGACCAGTCCCTGCTCAGTCAGGCCTCACTGGCCACCCCAAGCTCCAACCCCAGCTCCTGAGACCCCATCCATCCTGCAAGGCCGGGGTGTTCCAGCTCAAGGCTGGGCTCTCTGCCTCTCGGATGCATTGTGTTTCACCACCTTGTCTGCTTTGCCCTCCTTTGCATCCCAGACTCCGAGTTCACCTGCTCACTTGATATGACACCCAGTGGGAGGCTGGCAGAGCTCGAGTGCCCCCGCTGCTGGACAGTGATGAGATCCAGAGGTCACTGAACTTGCAAAGTATATTTGTAACATGTGATAAAGCAGAAATATAAAAAAATTCACTTAGGGAATAAAATGTTCTCCCTGAAGGCAGGAAGAAGACAGAGATACAAATGTGGTCCTCTAGGTGACAGGACAACAGCGTTGTCCCAGACAATCCACCTCCTGAGCATTGATCTGGAGGCTCTTGGGGCTGCTGCTGCCTGTCAGCCTATCTACAGATTACTGGATGGTTGGCACAAATCCCATTGAAATAACAGCAAAATTATGTGCTAGGTCATCTCCTAGGAGATGATACAGTTTTATATCCTGGTTAGTCTTTCTATCATCTATAAAATGAAAATAAATTAGAATTCTTTTATACTGTTGAACAAGTTTAATAAAATGTAAAAGAACCTCACTACAACTGACCCAAATTCATTCTTTTCTGTGGCTGAGTAATGTTCCATTGTCTATATGTACCACATCTTTATCCATTCATCTGTTGATGGACATCTAGGTTGCTTCCATGTCCTGGCTAAACAGTGCTGCTATGAACGCTGGGGTACATGACAGAATAGAGCCTGTTATACAGAGTGAAGTCAGAAAAAGAAAAACAAATATTGTTTACTAATGCATATATATGGAATCTAGAAAAATAGCATCGATGAGCTTATCTGCAGGGAAGGAATGGAGACGCGGACATAGAGAACGGACTTGTGGACACAGTCGGGGAAGGACAGGGTGGGATGGATTGAGAAAGTAGCGCTGATATATATACACTACCAGGTGTAAGACAGAGAGCTCGTGGGAAGCTGCTGTGTAACCCCAGGGGCTACGCCTCGTGCTCTGTGATGATCTAGAGGGGTGGGGAGGGCCGGGAAGGGGTGGGAGGCGAGAGAGAGAGAGGGGAGATATATATATGTAATGATGGCTGATTCTTGCTGTTGTAGAGCAGAAACCAACACAACGCTGTAAAGCAATTATCCTCCAATTTAAAAAAATTTTTTTAAGTGTAAAAGGACAATGATTTTCTATTTCAACTTCCCACTGAGCAACCAAAGAGCACAGGCTCTTTATACAGGACCAGGGGCCAACTGCAGGGGTGGGGCGTCTGTCTGCCCACCTGAAACCACACAGGCCTTAGCTGTCAGGGGTTCAGTAAAAGGATGTGACAGGACTCTACCCTCATACACTGTTTAGGATCTCCTGCAGCCTTTGACCAGCAGGCCGGGGACCAGCAGCCCCAGACGGCTGGCACTACCGCCAGGATGGCCTGGGAACAGTCCGAGAGGCCGGGGTGATCCAGCTGAGGCGGCGGCACAGGGCAGAGTGGGAGCAGGGCCCTGCATCCTTCTCGGAGGTGATGGTGGGGCAGGGACCCCCGCCTCCACATCGTGCTCAAAGTCAACGCTGTCAAACGAGGAGGGAGGCGACATGGCCCCAGGAAAATGACCTTCCCAGGAGGATAGAGAAGGGCTGGTGGGGAGACAGCAGCACAGATTTTGTACAACTTCATGGGGCACGCAGACCAGCCCGTTTTTTTTGCCAAATAATAAAATACCACCCACTGTGAACGCACAGGTCTCATGCTGCTGCTTCCATTCAAGGCTCAGCCAATTAAACTGACTCATCGAGGGCCGGCTGAGCGCTGGGCCTGCCTGCCCTTCCCCTGGAGACCAGCCAGCTTTGCCAGGTCGCCTGTGAGCCTGAGCAGTGGGTCTCAGGGGAGCAGTGGAGTCCAGCTCAGTGGCAATAGGGTCAGAGGGTGTGCACTGGCTAAATACAGCTCAGCAGCACATTTTTAAAATAGAGAAAAATGTAAAAACCTGGGTTAAATTTCTGAGACCATTTATTTCTTCTGGACCCTGAGGAGGAGAGACCTGCGGGGGTGGGTGGGATCTGCCCTCCCCCAGGGGCCCTAGCCCGGGGGCTCCCGCAGGCCCTGGAGGGTGGTGGGCAGTGGCTGCATGTCACAGTAGCTGAAGCAGCAGGCATCCAGCAGGTCGAGCTGAGAGGTAACCTCCAGGCAGCGGTCCTCAGAAGCTCTGGTGTTCTCCCTGGGGCCTGTCCTCTCCAGCGTGGCCTGCAGAAGTTCTCGGATCCTCCGGTTTTCCTTGAACGTGGACTCCCACACAACCTCCAGCTCGCCTTCCACTTCTCTGAGAGAAATAAGCAACACAAAGAAAATGTTTAAAATAACACAGTTTAATACTTACAGAGCCCATAAGAAAAAGTCACAAGAACCCAAGTGGAAGAACGATTACTGTCAGAGAACAGAGCCCATTGTGTGTGGGTTCTGAAGCAGAGACTCCCAGTGCTGAAAGAAACCGAAGTGCTCTGCAGACCAAACAAAATAAAAAGGCGCAGGCTGAAAATGACGTCTCAGCTCTCTCCTGTTTTCCTTTATTTTGGCCCCAGTGCACACACCCTCTGCTCTCTGTGGCATTCATGTACAACAAACATGTAACAACTCCAGAGGCTGACCCACAGCACAGTGTCCTGGCTGTGGGCGCCCACACACCACGGGCCTGCAGGCCTCTTCTGTGTCCCCTCTGCCTGTCCCCACTGTGACCCGGCCAACACTCAGGTGCCTTCCATAGCTCCGTCCACAGAGCCACTGATGGGCCCAGACAGAGAGTGAGTCGGGAGCAAGGAGGGGACGATGGGGAGTGGGGATCACGGCCCAGGACACAGTGAAGACCGGCCCAGACTGTGTGCCAGGAGGGCGAGTGTCCAGAGGGATCCAAGGCCGCTGAAAAATGGAAAATCCTGAGCCAGGGCTCTGTGAGGGGCCCCGCGTGGGGGGCAGACGGGGCACACATGTCCTCAGAGGGCTGCGGCCCACCGAGGGGGCAGACCAGACAGCAGCCACTGCCTCCCGGCAGCCCCTCGGGGAGGGAAAAGCAAGCCTTGGCCTTGGAGGAGCAGGCCTCGGGGAGGCGGCTCCTTCACAGGCACTGCCAGCTGGTCATGCAAAATGCTACAAACTGGGTTGTCGGGTGGACTCAGCACTGCTGTCCAGAGAGGAGGACACCAACTTCCAGTGCAGGGGGCATGGGTTCGATTCCTGGTTGGGGAGCTAAGATCTCACATGCACAGCCAAACAAAAAAATAAATTAAAAATAAAAAGAGGAGGGCACGAAGATTCAGGGAGGCCAGTGACACGCCCACTCATTCAATGTCATTTTCCTTGTGGACTGTTGCTCCTTCCAAAGCCCATAACGCTGAGTGCTGGGTACTATTTAATTAAACTATGTATAAGAATTCCCAGGCTTCTGTTTTCAGACAAAACACCCAAATGTTGGCTACATCATGATCATGTACAGCTAAACTCAAAATACAGTGAGAAGGAAATTTCTAAGGGCAGAAAAAAAATATGAAGACTAAACTGAAGCAGAGGCAGGCAAACAAAATGCTGGTATTGCTTTGAGGACAAAAGCCCATGCTCTATAGAAACCCAGACTTCCAAAGAAAGGAGACTAGTCTTGGGCCCATGCAAACTGGGTGCAACAGAAAATCCCAGGGCTGACTCACATCCATGTTTCTCTCCTCTTCTTCCTAGTGACACTCAACTGTGTATCCCAGAATTATGCAGGTAAGTGGAGATAGGTGAAGCACCCTCAGAGGAAGGATGGTTGGGTGGAAAAATCTGCCAGTCTTCAAAAGAAAGCTGCTTTGAGAGGCTCTTTGGGGGCTGTAGCCACTGATTTGTTCTCAAATGAATGTGGGGTTTGAATCTACATTGCTCCCCACTGTAAAGCATTCCCAGGCCCTGACTGGAGTGAACCAAAAGTAAAAAGGCATTTTTGAGGCAATCAGGGGAAAAACTCAATGGAAGAGTTAAAAGTACATTAGATAAAACCAGAGGCAGAATTAATGAAGTGGAATATTGAGCAGAGGAAATCACCCAGAATGCAGCTCAGAAAAATATACGTTAAGAAGTTAAACATTAATTATCAATGTAATAATGGTATTGAGAATGTTTTTTTTGGGGGGGGCTAAGTCGCATGGCTTGCAGGATCCTAGTTCCACAACTAGGGACTGAAGCCACAGTAAATCATGAAGTCCTAACCATTAGACCGCCAAGAAATTTCCTGTGACTATCTTAAAAACCTTTTTGTATTAAAAAAAGAAAAAAACACTACAGTAGATTTTTTTAAGTTAATAATAAAATTAAAGTGACTGCGGGTTTGAAAGGACTCTCTGGCACCAAGAGAAGCAAATGCAAACCTTTTCTGGAGAAAAACGTCCTCAATCCAGGTCCCCAGGACTCCACAGAGTAAATTCAACCATTCATGGGTTCATAGTAAAAAAATTACAGTTCAGAGAACGAAATGAGCCACATAGGGCAAGAGTCAACAAGACCCCCAAATTCCAGATGAAGAAGCTGGCACAGAATATAAAATAACTATGAATAAAATGTTAAAAGAAACAAAAGATGTACTAAAGATAAGCAAAGATCAAGAATTTATTTTAAAAATCTCTAGGGAGATTTTCAAAGGAACCAAACAGGACTTCTGAAATTGAAATATACAGTTGTTGAAATAAAAAATCTCAATGTCTGGGTTAAACACACACTGAACAAAACTGAAGAAAAACTAGTAAATAGAAATATTGTGGAGAATTACCCAGAGTGTAGACCCCCCAAAAAAACCCCAAGGAGACAGAAAATGTCAAAGACAAGACACATGGAAGATTCAGTAAGGAGGTATAACATACATTTAATCTGAGTTCCAGAAGGAAGTCTAGAAACAATGCGGGGAAAAAGACTTAATTCAAGAAATAATGCCTGAAAAATTTCAAGAAGTAATGAAAGGCACAAAATCACAGATATAGAGAATAACTTATACCAAGTAGCTGAGTAAAACAAACTCATAGTCAGACACAATGGAGGGGCCTTCACTGGTGGCTCACTGGCTGAAACTCTGTGTTCCTAACGCAGGGGACCCATCTGATCCCTGGTCAGGGAACTAGACCCTGCGTGCCACAACAAGATCGAAGATCCTCCATGCCACAACGGGACTCGGTGCAGCCATATAAATAAATAAATATTCTAAAAACTCAACACAGTGGAGCTGCAGACTCTAAGAGTCAAGAGGAATTCTTAAAGGAGGCAAGAGATACAATGATCATCTAGTTTTAAAAATGACAAAAAAGACTTCTCAGCAGTAATAATGAAACAGAGGAGACAGTGAAACGTGTTGAGAGAAAAGACTGTTGAGGTAGAATCCAGCTTCCAGCAAACATCAGCTCATAAAGATGAGGCCAAAATGCAGACACTGTCAGATAAACAAAAACTAAGAAAGCTTACTGTCACACTAAAGAAACTTCTAAAGTATGCACTTTAGGAAGGAGAAAAATACTCTGAGAAACAGGGTTTTTGATGCAAAAAAGAATAATAAGCAAAGAAACTGGTAAACTGTGGGTGAATCAAAATAAACAACTCTATTAAAACTAGTAATATGCAGTTTCTGGGGGTAAAATGATATAAAATAGATATTTTCTTTTCACCTTCATATATCTGTACTTACATGTAATGACAATAGACAAAAATAGCATATACACTGAGTGGGGAAATAATTAGAGTGTTAGATCTTGCATTTGGTGGTAGAAATGTAGAGGCGCTGATTAACTTTAGATTTTTTTTAATGTTAAGTACCCATAGTGAAATTTCAAAGGAAACCACTAAAAGAATAAAAATAGAATATCTAATTTTTGAACCATTAAAGGGCAAAAAAATAGAATCAGGGAAAAGGTATAAAACAAAGTTCCATTTTATTAATGCAATTCTAAACCACTTGTCTGGCAAGAAACATGGTATCATTCCAACTTTTACGAAATGACCATTCATGGTGGTAAGAACTTCTGTGACTATAGAAAACCTGTTAGATAACAGTTTACTCTGCCTGGCATTAAAAAGCATCTGGCTGACAGAAAATAAACAGCTTTCTGCATTCTGCTTGGTACTAATACACAGATTCTATCATAACTTGAAGTCACGTTTGAGTGTCATGCTTTCTCTCCATGCATCAGTTTATGTTCCAATCTGTCAAAGACAACACAGTCATTCTGAAAAGGCCAACTTAAATGTGAACCCAAACTACTTGAGGGGACTGCCATGTTCACCTTCACAAAACATGCGCTATTTCCCAGGGTTGGTTTTCTTTTTTTTTTTTTTCCATTTATTTTTATTAGTTGGAGGATAATTACTTTACATCATTGCAGTAGTTTTTGTCATACATTGAAATGAATTAGCCATGGATTTACATGTATTCCCCATCCCGGTCCCCCCTCCCACCTCCCTCTCCACCCGATCCCTCTGGGTCTTCCCAGTGCACCAGGCCCGAGCACTTGTCTCATGCACCCAACCTGGGCTGGTGATCTGTTTCACCCTAGATAATATACATGTTTCGATGCTGTTCTCTTGAAACATCCCACCCTCGCCTTCTCCCAGAGTCCACAAGTCTGTTCTATACATCTGAGTCTCTTTTTCTGGTTTTCAACACACTGGCAATACCTCCTCTGTCACATGAGGAGCCAGAGAGAACATGATATACCCATAATCTTCTGACTGTGATCTTGCAAAAAGGGAAGAATCTGAAATTTCAAGGTTCTCAAAAATGAGAATGTAATAGCAGAAATAAAATATTTAATCGAAAAAATTTAAAGTCTTCCAAGAAGATGGAATAAAATAAAAATCTTAAAGAGATGGAAAAGAGGGGGAGAGGGGAAGGACAATGACAGGACTGGATTGATTTAGGAAGTCCAGTATTCAAATAGCAAGAATTTTTAAAGGCGGGATAAAAGAAAGTGAAGACCTGGGATCTAATGTACATCATGGACACTACAGTTAACAGTTCTGTATATCTGAAAGTTGCTAAGAGAGTATATCTTAAATGTTCTCACCACCACCACAAAAAAAGGTAATTATATGACATGAAGGCTATGTTAACCTTATTATGATAATCATTTTACAATACATATGTATATCAAACCATCACACTGTATACCTTAAACTTATACAAGGTTATATGTCAATTACTAGAGGAAATCTTTCAAAAGAAAAAAAAGAAAAGAAAATGGAGGAGAAAATAAAAAACAAGGTCAGGATTTCCCTAGTGGCTCAGTGGTTAAGATTCCACCTGTCAATGAAGGAGACACACAGGTTTGATGCCTGGTCTGGAAAGATCCCACCTGCTGCAAGGCAACTAGGCCTGTGTGCCACAACTACTGAGCCCTAAAGCCCGTGCTCCACAGCAAGGGCGAGAAGCCCACGCACTGCAACCAAGACCCAGTGCGGCCAAAAATAAAAAAATATTTCACTACATCAAGACAAACATTAAAATCAGGTAAAACTAAAATGTAAAAACAAAAATAAGCAATCAAATGAACAAAAAAAACAGGCCCAGAGCATTTCACTGGAAAATCTTACCAAACATTCAAAAATCACAAACATCACCCGGGGGCTGGGGCGGCCAGACCTTTTCTGCTGCAGCGCCTTGTCCAGGACATCCTGCTTGTCCAGGAGAATCCGATGGAGGTGCCTCATCTCCTGCTGGTACTGAGCTGACTTGCTAGCAAAGTCCTCCTGCTGCTCTGTCAGATGATGACTCATGTCACCCAGCTGCAGTGCCATCTGCTTCTTGTACCCCTGGGGAGGAGGATGGACTCAGTGAGGGGGTGCTGCCTGGGGCCCAGGGGGCTGGCCTTGTGGACAGGCCCCCTCCCCACTCCTGGGCCTATCAGAGCCCCTGAACTGAGTAACCCCTGGGCAGGTCTCATCTGGGAGGGCAAGGTGGATCACAAAAGTCATCACAAAGTAATAAAAGAATTTCAAGTATATTAAAAAGAATTTCTGACTTGTACCATGCCTAGTTTTTTACATGCTACAAATAAAAATTAAAACAGAAAGGCCTGGCAAGGACTGTCACACTCTACTGGTAAACAGATGACTGAGATAAAAGCCTGATTCACTTATTTTCCTTCTTACATATTTATTGTTTAGTATTTAAGGTTAATAGATTTTCCACTGAGCATTTCCCAAACTGCTGTCACATAGATTTTAACTTTGTAGTTAGATTCACAGAAGATTCAGTTCTCATTAGAAATTATGACATCCAAGAACCTACTATAGTATGACTCAGGAAACTCAAACAGGGGCTCTGTGACAATCTAGAGGGTGGGGTGGGGAGGGAGGTGGGAGGAGGTTCAAGAGGGAGGGCATATGTACACCTGTGGCTGATCCATGTTTAAATCTGGCAGAAAACAACAAAATTCTGTAAAGCAATTCTCCTTCCATTAAAAAATAACTTAAAAAAAAAAGAACCTACTGTATAGCACAGGGAACTCTATTTAATACTTAGTAATGACCGATATAGGCAAAGAATCTAAAAAAGAGGGGGTATATGTGTGTGTGTGTGTATATATGTGTGTGTGTGTATAACTGACTCACTTTGGTGTATACCTGAAACTAACACAACACTGTAAATCAACTACACTCCAATAACAAAATTCTAAAAAAAAGAAATTATGACATTCAATTTATACATCTTCTCTGACCCAAGAGTCATTAGTTTACTGCAATTTTTACATGTCCAGGTAAAAGAATATTTTTCACTCTCATTTTATTTATTAATTTCTGGTATTCATTTTTTTGGTCAACAGATATCTATCTTATTTCTACTTTGGAAGCTTACTGAAACTAATTTTTGGTAGCCAATCTATAATCAATTTTTGTGACTGTTCTATATGGGCTTCCCAAGTGGTTCCAATGGTAAAGAACCTGCCTGCCAATGCAGGAGACATAAGAGACATGGGTTTGACCCCTGGGTCAGGAAGATCCCTTGGAGGATGGCATGGCAACTCACTCCAGTATTCTTGCCTGCAGAATCCCATGGACAGAAGAGCCTGGCAGACTACAGTCCATAGGGTTGCAGTCAGACACGACTGAAGTGACTCAGCACACACGCACACAGGTATATACACATAAGTATACCTTATAGATTACGCTGTAAAATTCTATATGTTTACTCTTGTATAACACTGTGATCTGTCCTGGACTAAGAGACATGGATTAAAGCTCTACTAAGCTTCCATTTCCCCTTGTATCTCCTGTAGTTTATAAGTTTTGGTGTTATTTAGTACATAAACATTCATAACTACTATATATATCTACATATTTTAAATTTTTTTGATGGGGACCATTTTTAAAGTCTTTTATTGAATTTGTTACAATATAGCTTCTGTTTGGCTTTCTAGCCCTAAAGCACCTAAGATTTTAGCTTTCCAACCAGGGGAACCCGAATCCCCCCTCATTGGAAGGGGAAGTCTTTTCTACCGGACAACAGGGAAGTCCCAATAATTACTTTTTTTTTTTTAAGTATTTTATTTTATTTTTCCATTTATTTTTATTAGTTGGAGGCTAATTACTTTACAACATTGCAGTGGCTTTTGTCATACATTGAAATGAATTAGCCATGGATTTACATGAATTCCCCATCCCGGTCCCCCCTCCCACCTCCCTCTCCACCCGATCCCTCTGGGTCTTCCCAGTGCACCAGGCCCGAGCACTTGTCTCATGCATCCAACCTGGGCTGGTGACCTGTTTCACCCTAGATAATATACATGTTTCGATGCTGTTCTCTTGAAACATCCCACCCTCGCCTTCTCCCACAGAGTCCACAAGTCTGTTCTATACATCTGAGTCTCTTTTTCTGTTTTGCATATAGGGTTATCGTTACCATCTTTCTAAATTCCATATATATGTGTTAGTATACTGTAATGGTCTTTATCTTTCTGGCTTACTTTGCTCTGTATAATAACTACTATTATTAATTATAGTCTTTAGCATTATTAAGACCTCCCCCCCGCTTTTCTCCCTTTGTTTGGTTTCATTTAGTGCTTTGGCTCAAATTTTCTCTCAGCAGATGTAAAGATCACAGCTTGGCTTTTTTCTTGTTTGCATAAATCTGTATTATCTTCACTCATCCTTTTAATCTTTCTGAAGTACTATTCCTTATTGTCTCTTGGTTCTAGCACGTAAATAGTGTTTTGCTTACTTTCTTTTAATAGGTAAATTAAGTTCATTTATATTTTCTTATATGGCAGATTTATTTGGTCTTAATTTTATTTTGTTTTATTGTTTTATCTACACACATTTTTAAAGACTTTAATGTAGTTTCTATTTTCTCTGCTCTTTTTTGCTGTTGTAATTTGGTATTTAGGTATGAACCTCTTTTGATTCTTGTAGTTACTTTTATTTTTATGCCTTTATATTACATGTCCTTAGTCCTCTCACTTATTGAAAGTAACATAATGTTGGCTCCGAACAATTTTTTCTTCACTCTTCCCCTATTGAAATATGCTAAGTTCTTCCTACTTGATTTTTATCTTTATTTTTGTAAAGACATTATTTTCTACTTGTACTTATTTTTTTCATTACTCTCCTCATTCTATTTATTTTTTAAACTTTTTACTTTGTATTGGGGTATAGCCTATTAACAATGTTGTGATAATTTCAGGTGAATAGCAGAAGGGCCTCAGCCATACATATACATGTATCCATTCTCCCCAAATTTCGCTCCCATCCAGGCTGTCACATAACACTGAGCAGAGTTCCCTGTGTTACATAGTAGGTCCTTTTTGGTTACCCAATTTAAATACAGCAGTGTGTACAGGCAACTGGTTTTTCTCTGTGAGCCTCTGTTTTGTAAGTAAGTACATTTGTATCATTTCCTCTTAGATTCCACACATAAGGGATGCCATAGGATGTTTATCCTCCTCTGCCTGACTTGCTTCACTCAGTATCACACTCTCTAGGGCCATTCACGCTATTTGTCTAGTTTGGGCTGTGCTGGGTCTTCGCTGCGCATCTGGGCTCTCCCCAGTTACAGTGCTCAGGCCTCTCACTGGGGTGCTTCTCTTGTGGTACGAGGGCTCCAGAGCGTGGGTACCTGCAGCCTGGCTCAGCTGCCCCATAGCACGTGGAGTCTTCCGGGCCGGGGATGAAACTTGTGTCCCCTGCATAGGCGGGCGGATTCTTAACCACTGGACCACCAGGGAAGTCCCTGATTTTTCATCTTTAAACCATATACTTTGATCTCTTAGTTATTACAGATAAAGCAACCAGCAAGTTCATTCTATTTTCTCTCTTTCTTCTCCATTCACCTATCACTTTTTCCTTGCTTGTATTATTTCTACATTGTCAGGTTGTATTATGTCTACACTTTATTGCATCAGCCTTATGTCTGCTTTCTAAAAGTCTTAATTCACTGTTAAATATATTCTCTGCTCATGAGTAGTACTTTTCTGAAATTTGCCCAATTATTTCTTGGCTGAACTCAAGTTGATTGATCCTTAGGAAAGGTTTATGAGAAAAAAAAAAGTGTCCCCAGAATTTTTACAAGGTCAAAACTATCTGTGAGCAGCCTGGCTGAGTGTAACATCCTTGAATATTCATAGACAGAATTCCACTGCTCTATGGCATACAGTGTTGCTGTTGAGAAGTATGAAGTCAACATGACTTTCTTTTTTTATGTCTTGATCTTCTGCCTGGGTGTCCAAGGTATTTTTTTCTCCTCCTTTTTTTTTTTTTTTTTGGTCATGTCAAGCAGCTTTGGATCTTACTTTCCCAAGCAGGGATTGAACCTGAGCCCCGTGAAGTGGAAATGCAGAGTCTTAACCACTGGGCCGCCAGGGAATTTCCCAAGGCAATTTTTCTTTATCTTGAAGTCACAGGTCTTGGTATCAATTTTCTAGGTCCATCCTGGGTCAGTTTTCCTTTCAAGACATAGATTCAACTCTTCATTTATGTCAGAAAAGTTTACAAAAATTTCAGCAATGTCTTTTTAAATCCATCTCCCAGAATTATGGAAATAAAAAAATAAACAAATGGGACCTACTCAAAAGGTTTTTGCACAGCAAAGGAAACAATAAAATGAAAAGACAACCCACAAAGTGGGAGAAAATATTCACAAATGATGTGACCACCAACGGATTAGTCTCCAAAATCTACAAACAGCTCATGATGCTTAACAACATCAAAACAGACAACCCAACCAACAAATGGCCAGAAGACCTAAATAGACATTTCTCCAAAGAAGGCATACAGATGGCCAAGAAGCACATGAAAAGATGTTCAACACTACTAATCATTAGAGAAATGCAAGTCAAAACTAAAATGAAATATCACCTCACACGAACCAGAATGGCTCTCATCAAAAAATCCACAAATAACAAATGCTGGAATGGGTGTGGAAAGAATGGAACCCTCCTGCACTGTTGGTGGGAATGTAAATTGGTATAGCCACTATGGAGAATAGTATGGAGGTTCCTTAAAAAACTAAAAATAGAGCTACCATGTGACCCTGCAATTCTACTCCTGGGCCCATATCTGGAGAAAAACATGATCCAAAAGGATATATTCACCCCAATGTTCACTGTAGCACCGTTTACAACAGCCAAGATATGGAAGCAACCTACATGTCCATTGACAGAGGCGTGGATAAAGAAAGTGGTATATGTATACAATAGAATATTACTCAGAATGAAATAATGTCATTTGCAGCAACATGGATGGACCTAGAGAGTATCATATGGAATCAAGTAAGTCAGACAGAGAAGGAGAAATATCGTATGACATGCCTTATATGTGGAATCTAAAAAGAAATGGTACAAATTAACTTAAAAAACAGAGAGAGACTCCCAGACTTAGAGACGAACTCACGGTTGCCTGGACACACTGCTAGACTTAAAATGGATAACCAATAAGGATCTACTTACAGCAAGCACATGGAACTCTGCTCAATGTTATGTGGCAGCCAGGGTGGGAGGGGAGTTTGGGGGAGAATGGATACACGTATATGTGTGGCTGAGTCCCTTCACTGCTCACCTGAAACTATCACATTATTAATTGGCTATACCCCGACACAAAATAAAAAGTTAAAAAAAAAAAAAAAACAGATCAAGAAAATGCTAGAGGAGAGCTGAAGATGCAGAGGATTTACTGGTTCTGAAACATCAGTACTCGGGGGCATGGTGGACCAATGTGGGATGGTGGAGAGGTCAGGGACAAAGGTGGGGCTTGTATTAAGGATGTAGAGGTACTTGAGGAATGATGGCGCTATTGAAAACAGATGGCCAGAGCAGATTATTGTTACAGCAATGGTGGAAAAATAAATTGAGCTGGTGGGTTAGGTTCTGATGAGAAATGGTACAGAACCCATTAGCCAGATTATTTTGTGGGTCTAGATGACGGTAAACTCCCAAACTATAACCATTATGCTGTTAGCACTGGAGAGTAGCTGAAAAATGTGCACAAATTGATTTTAGAAGTCCAAATGTTCATCCCATGAGATCCTAAACTCCCAGTCCTTTACAAAGGAAATCACTGAGCAGATTTTAAAATAAAGTTAGTTGTGTAAGAGGATATTCACTGAAATGTTATACAGTAGGAAAAGTATAAAAATTTTTTAAAGTTTAGGAATAAAAACTTTTAAGAATTACTGTTTCTGCCAGAGAAACCAAAACTGCTTTACTCTGTAGACGATTAGTGATACAAGTATGCAAAATGGGTCATTTTCTTAAACACGGAAATCTGACCCCAGGTAGCCAGTTCCCACGTGTAACTGGCTAAATGTCTGCATACCTTTATTTTCTCTTTCAATCTTCCCAAGAGAATACTGTGTTCTGTGATTCTGTTGAGAACTCCATGGTTCTCACTTTCTAAACATTTAGCCTATGGAGTAAAGCAAAGAGAAAAACAACAAAAGGTTCTTAGTTTAATAGAAAATTTAAAATATTAAAACATTCTTCTGCTAAGAGTATTATTACAAAGAGTATTACCATCCTGCCACTTCCCATCTCCAGATTCCTAACCCCTGTGTAAAGGCTGTGGGCAGAACTTGGACCAATATTTGACGAGGGGCAGAGCCAAGAATGGCATGCTGGGCGCCCCTCCTGGACCCAATGGAAAACCCAAATCCCTCAAACAAGGGGGATGTAAACTTTCAGCATCTTTTCTATTCTCGGGGAATATACCATTCCTTCCATCACATCCAAGGAGTAAGTGCCAAGATGCAAATAAACTTCTCACTTGACTATCTGAGTAATTAACAAAATTAAGGATAACAAGATGAAGGCACAATGCCATTCTCCAAACCAAATGTGACAGGCAGTAGATCCAAGATGGATGTCATTAAAGTGGAATGATTTAGATGAATACCCAGATGGGACATAAACTTCTACATATTATAAATTAACTGTTTCAAATGGTAAAAAAAATTTTTTTTAAGTAAAGGTGAGCATTCCTTCTAACTGATTTTCTAGAAAGTTAAACTAAGACCCAGGTAATAAAACTTGCCACAAGTCACATGGAAAACCCATCCTAAAGGTAGGATTAGAAATGAAGATGCCAGTATCAATGAAGTGAGGTATAAGGGGCTCTCACAAGGCCCAGTTCAGGGTAAAGTAGGGGTGAGTACTCCTGTTGTAGCTGCCTCTTTGTGCCCCTTTAAACTGTGTGACTGGGATGAATTCTACTGAACACATAGAGAATTCTTTTTTTTTAAACCTGATTTTTAAAGTATTTATTTATTTGGCTGTGCCAGGTTCTCAGTTGTGGTGCATGTGAGGAAACTTACCAAAAACATAAGATTGTCACGTTCCTGGGTTACATTCTCTGCCAGGCCAACAAGATTTGCCAGGTATTGGTGAGCAGACATTTCATTCTCCATGGCTTTTTCCACCTGCTTTTTGAGGACATCAATTTTCTTTTGAGACCTCCTAGAGAGTTCCCCCAAATGGTGGAATAAAAAAATTTGTTAGCCTGAATGGCCAGGGCACAGTGAATATCTGTATTATAAAAACAGCAAGTATGTGAGCATTTAAGTGTATTCTTCATCAACCTAAATCTTCCATGAAGTTTCAACGTGAGAATAGGCACCTGAATTTAATTTTAAAGGAAGCATAACTATTGATTTTAAGCCAACAGAAATTGCAAAATGTTTAACACAAGTAACAGGCTAATACATAATATTGTATTAGTTTTTTGACTTGTGTTCTTTAAAAAGTATTTGTGAAGAAGAAATCCAGTAATCCCTGGATTAGACTTTTGGGAAACAATAAAGAACTTCAAGAAATTTCAGATTCTTAAGAGTCATCATTATAACGTTGGTCATATTTTATATTTTGATATTTAATAATCTCATTTATCCCTTTCCATTTCATTGCCAATATGAGAAAAAAGGATAATATGAAATAGAATATGCAAGGGTCTTTTTTTAACTTAAAAAAAATGTTTAAGAGAAAAAAAAACCCACCTATTTATTTTCTGTGCCTTTTCGAGTTCAGCTTCCAGCGCCTTGTTTTTAGCTGTCAGATTTTTCTTCTCTAAGAGCAGGCTCTTTTTCTGCACTTGCAGGGCTGCCAGCTTTTCCATCAACTCTTCCATCTCAGCATTTTCCTTCTCTTCTTCTTTCTGCAACTGGCTGGTGGACAAAAACATCACAAGCTTGCACCCAATACAGTGAGGTTAAATGAGGTAGCCACTGCCAGGCAGCCCCGGTGGGTCCTCCGGAGGCCTCCGTGGGAATAGCCTCAGGCAGCCCCCCGGGGAGTTGGTGGGGAGTCCCGGAGGGCAGCAGAGAGGGCCCGGCTGTGGACAGACCCCTCTAATGGTCACGGTCTCAGCCCTTCTTCTGCTCACAATTTTTGTTCAGGTCTCTGTGTACGTATATAAATATACCTAAAGGAAATCAATCCTGAATATTCACTGGAAGGACTGATGCTGAAGTTGAAGCTCCAATACTTTGGCCACCGGATGTGAACGAAGAGCCAACTCATTGGAAAAAGACCCTGATGCTGGGAAAGACTGAAGGCAGGACGAGAAGGGGATGACAGAGGATGAGACGGTTGGATGGCATCACTGACTTAATGGATGTGAGTCTGAGCCAACTCCAGAAGCCTGGCGTGCTAACAGTCCATGGGGTTGCAAAAGACACAATTCAGCAACTGAACAACAACAACAAATGCTCCACTCCTTTCAGAAAGAATTTAACACAGCTCTTTTTTTAACATAGTTATAACTGCCCCTCCCTCAAATCCTAAGTCTAAAACAAATTTTATTTCAGACTAAAATAATTGTTTTTCTGATAAAACAAACAAACAATAAAACAAGGAGGGCATACAAATAGTACATAATCCTGTCAAAATGATGCTTGAGAGAAGAGTTGTTCCTTCACTGGTTTTCTGGCTCAATTTTCCTGAAATAACCGAGAATGAACAGGTATGGCCACACACCCAGAGGCTGTCTGGCATGCTGAGAGATGGAGTCTCTCTGGGTACCACGGAGTCTCTTTGGGTACCACGTGGGACTTACTGCCTGGCTGGCTGGTTAGTGAACAAGCCTCACACTGCATGTTTGGGGTCTGCCTCACTTGCCACACAATTTCAATAAATTCAGCCTGAGCTGGCTCCCTAAGCAGTCAGTAATTTTCTAAATAGTTTCCACTTTTCCACTGTTTTCTAGTTGACTAGTTTTAGTTAGTCAAAGAGCAGGGGACACACCTGGACAAAAGCCACAGAACTGAGGTTTGAATTAAACTCACCTTTTAACTTTTTCTTTGCTTTTTTTTTTTTTAATAAACTTTTTATTTTATATTGGAGTAAAGAAGATTAACAATGGGATAGATTCAGGTAGACAGCAAAGGGACACAGCCATACATAGACATGTATCCACTCTCCCCCAGACCCCCGTCCTATCCAGGCTGCCACATAACAGAGCAGAGTCAGAGTTCCCTGTGCTATAAAGCAGGCCCTTGTTTGCTATCCATTCTAAACACAGCAGTGTGTCCATGTTGATCCCAAACTTCCCAACTACCCCTTCCTTCCATCTTTCTCTCCTGGTTCTTTGCTGTTTTTTGTTTGGATTTTAGAATTTTATTTATTTTCTTTTGCTCACTTGGTAGCAAAATCAGTAAGTTCACAAAATCAATCAAAAAGTTCATAATGAAAAGCAACCAAAGACAACAGGAAATGCTGAGAAAGTGCTGGCGGGCGTACACAGCTACCTCAGGGAACAACATGTCAAACTCTGAAACATGCATTTACTCTATGGCCAAACAATGCCACCTCTACCTATATATTTAGGGAAACTGATTAATCTGCACAAGAAAGTTTACCGGGGCATTGTTTAAAGGAACAAACTTAGAAACAAGTAAAATGTAGCATTTCATATGGAGAACATCTGTAAACTGAATGGGAAAAAACTCCAAAAGCCAAAAAAAAAAATCAACTTGGCATTCTTTACCCAGTGAAATTATCAATAAAGTGTAATGATTTTTCCAATAAAAGTACTGTGAATCTTTCTATTCCTATTTGTGAGGCTCTGTTAATAGTACCTCCCCCCTTCCTCCTTTCCTTTTTTTTTTGGTGGGGGAGGGATTCTTCTTCAAAATGTCATTTTCTATATATTTATTCCTGCAAAGAAATATGATTAAATTTTTAGAAAATATTTTTTATTTGGCTGCACAGGAGTCTTAGCTGTGGCATGCAGGATCTTTAGTTGTGGCATATGGGATCTAGTTCCCTGACCAAGGATTGAACCTGGGCCCCCTGCATTGGGAGTGCAGTGTTAGTCACTGGACCACCAAGGAAGTCCCCTGTAATTAATTTTTTATAAATTGTTTCTATCAACTTTGCAAGAGTTCACTATTATTTATTTTTAACTGAAGTATAGTTGATTTGTAACGTGTTAATTATTGCTCTACAGGAAAATGACTCAGACATATATATATGTGTGTGTATATACACACACACACACACACACATTCTTTTTCACATTCTTTCCGTTATGCCTTATGACAGGATATTGACTACAGTTCCCTGTGCTATGCAGCAGGACCTTGTTTATCCATTCTGTAAATAGAAGGTGCATCTGAAACCCCAAACTTAAATCCACCCCTCTTCCACTCCCTTCCCCCTTGGCAACCACCAGTCTGCTTTCTATGTCTGTGATTCTATTTCGGTTTCATGAGAGGTTTCTTTATATTTTAGATTCCACATATAAGTGATATCATATGGTATGTATCTTTCTTTCTACTATCCAGTTGCATCCACGTTGCTGCAAATGGAGTTATTTTGTTCATTTTTATGACTGAGTAGTAGTCCCCTGCATTAGGTTGGCACAAAAGTAATTGTGGCTTTGTATTGCTGAACTTTGTTGCCATTTGATATCAGAATACATTCTTAAATGTGGTTATGGTCTACATCATTTTGATGTGCATTTCTTGCTTTATGTTTTTTGCTAATGACTTATTACTTGCTGTTTATTTATTATTGACCATAGAAGTGACATTAGAAAAAAAGCAAATTCGAGCTATTTTCTTATTTGCATTAAAAATGGGTCATAAATCGAGAGAGACAACTCACAACATCAACAATGCATTTGGCTCAGGAACTGCTAACGAAAGTACAATGCAGTAGTGGTTCAAGAAGTTCTGCAAAGGAGACAATGGCCTTGAAGATGAGGAGCGTAGTGGCCGGCCATCGGAAGTTGACAACGAACAACAGAAAGCGTCATCAAAGCTGATCCTCTTACAACTACACAAGGAGTTGCGGAAGAACTCAACATCGACCATTCTGCAGTTGTTCAGCGTTTGAAGCATATTGGAAAGGTGAAAAAACCTGGGAAGTGGGTGTCTTGTGAACTGACCAAAAATTTTAAAAAATGGTTGTTCTGAAGTGTCATCCTCTTTTACTCTGTGCAACAGCAATGAACTATTTTCTCGATTGGACTGTGATGAAAAGTGGATTTTACAGGCAACCAGTGATGATCAACTCAGTGGTTGGACTGAGAAGAAACTCCAAAGCACTTCCCAAAGCCAAACTTGCACCAAAAACAGCTCACGGCCACTGTCTGGTGGTCTGCTACCTCTCTGTTCCACTACAGCTTTCTGAATCCCAGCGAAACCATTACATCTGAGAACTACGTTCAGCAAATTGATGCTGCTGCTGCTGCTAAGTCACTTCAGTCGTGTCCGACTCTGTGCGACCCCATAGACAGCAGCCCACCAGGCTCCGCCATCCCTGGGATTCTCCAGGCAAGAACACTGGAGTGGGTTGCCACTTCCTTCTCCAATGTATGAAAGTGAAAAGTGAACGTGAAGTCGCTCAGTCGTGTCCGACTCTTTGCGATGCACTGAAAACTGCAACGCCTGCAGCCAGCACTGGTCAAAAGAAAGGGCCTAATTCTTCTCCACAACAATGTCTAACCACATGTCACACAACCGACACCTCAAAAGCTGAACGAATTGGGCTACAAAGTTTTGATTCATCTGCCATATTCACCTGACCTCTCTTGCCAACCGATTACCACTTCTTCAAGCATCTTGACAACTTTTTGGAGGGAAAATGCTTTCACAACTAGCAGGAAATGCTTTCCAGGAGTTCGTTGCATTCTGCATGGATTTTTATGCTACAGGAAAAAACTTATTTCTCATGGGCAAAAACGTGTTGATTTTAATGGTTCCTATTTTTGATAAATAAAGATGTGTTTGAGCCTAGTTATGATGATTTAAAATTCACAATCTGAAACCACAATTATGTTTGCACCAACCTAATATATATGTATTGCCTCATTTTTATCCATTCATCTGTTGATGGACATTTAGGTTGTTTCAATGTCTTGGATATTGTGAATAGTGCTGCTATGAACATAGGAGTGCATGTATCTTATTATAGTTTTGTCTGGATACATGCCCAGGAGTGGGATAGCTGGATCATATGGTAATTCTATTTTTAGTTTTCTGAGGAACTTCCATGTTTTCCACAGTGGCTGAACCAACTTACATTCCCACCAACAGGGTAGAAGGGCTCCCTTTCTCCAAACCCTCTCCAGCATTCGTCACTTGTAGAATTTTTAATGATAGCCATTCTGACCAGCATGAGGTGATATCTCACTGTAGTTTCGATTTGTACTTCTCAAAATTAGCAATGTTGAACAAGGTCTCATGTGAATATTGGCTATCTGTATGTCTTCTTGGAGAAACGTCTCTTTAGGTCTTCTGCCTGTTTTTCAATTGGTTTTTGTTGTTGTTTTTGCTATTGAGATGTATGAGCTATTCATTTATTCTGGAAATTAAACCTTTGTTGGTCACATCATTTGCAAATATTTTCTCCCATTCTGTAGACTGTCTTTTCATTTTGCTTACGGGTCTGCCTCGGTGGCTCAGTAGTAACAAATCCCCCTGCAATGCAGGAGATGCAGGTTTGATTCCTGGGTCCGAAGATCCCCTGAAGGAGGGCACAGCAACCCACTCCAGTATTCTTGTCTGGAGAATCCCATGGACAGAGAAGCCTGGCGGGCTACAGTCCATGGGGTCGCAAAGAGTTGGACATGACTGAAGCAACTGGGCATGCATGCATGGTTTCCTTTGTTGTGGTAAAGCTTGAAAGTTTGATTTGGTCTCATCTGTTTATTTTTGTTTTG